ATAGCATTAGAGCCGGATTCGAGCCGGATCGCAGAAATGCACACGCGATTTTAATTTATTGCGTTTTTTTTCAATTTTGTTTTATTTACATCTACATTCGTTGTTGTTCATTTCTAGCCTTTGTCATCTTCATCACCTTCTAGGACTTTGAAGCATGAGCAATACCTCAAATGTTAGGAAATTGCGTTTTGCTTGTATTGTCATGTTTTATTGTCATGTTCTGTGGGAATGCGCGGCCTCTGAGGGATATTGCAGAAGCACCACAGTTGCTCTTGAGTTCTAGCCCTCGTCATCATCTTCGGTTCTTATTTTGCAGCACCTAAAATGTTATCCGCATAAAGAAATTGCGTTGTACTTGTATTCCAAAGCGCAATTACAGGACTTGGCAAAAAGCCAAGAGAGCTGCACGCGACCGCGCCGCGCGGATGGTGTTAGCATAAACGTGAGGGCGGTGTAGCAAGGAATTACGACTTTCCCACGGCCCCCCCGTGCAGTTTTGGGCGGGGGGACCACGACACATCGACAGCTGGGGGGCTGATAGTCTCATACACCCTCAATGTGTTTGAGCGTACCATGTGTCTTTAAGGACGTCGCTCGAGCAACCCGCTCGAGTCACCAAGTATGAACGTGGCCCAACCTTTTTATAGTCGAGTTCTCTTCGGACAAAGGGGCGTTCCTACGTGCACCTTGACGAGCGCTCCGCGCTACGTGTCGGTGGAATGCGTGCCTCAGCGCTCTCTGACATCGACTCCGCGCTGATACACACGCCGGCGCGCAATCTACTCACTCTTCCGTCTAGACTCTCGCCGATCGGTAATGGCCGACGCGCTCAGTCAGCTGATTTCTGCTGTACTCATCTTGTAAAAGCTGGAATTCCTCTTCGTCCAGCTTAATTAAGATAAGGCAGGTACGTTTACTAAGGCAAGGTTTTATTTTGAATGATTTCAGCTTGACTTTCTGCTTGGAACTTTGTTTCTTCTCATTGTATTCGCCTTTCCTTAATTTTTTTCTTATCTCCGATGACATGAAGTCGAAGGTGCTAAGAGGTCGAAGGTCATGAATGTAGACCTCTTTAACGGACAGGTGGATGTAAACGTTGACAGTACGTCGCTAGAGAATGTCGACATGTTCACTTATCTCGGTAGTGTGGTTACGCACACTGGTGATGCTGAAACGGATGTCCGTGCCCGGCTTGCAAAAGCAGCTGCTGTGTTCATACGACTTCTGCCCGTATGGAAAACGTCTTCTATCTCGCGTATCCTTAACTCATTGCGTACCGCGGCGTTCTCCTGCAAACCGGCACCTGTGGCCGACGCCTTTTCATGGCCGCGACTTGTGGCGCGTGAGTATAAACAAATTAGATTCAAATTGCATACATATGATATAAGAACATTGTATATGGGTAACATTACACATTACATTTATTTGCATAGATATGATAAATTACATTGAAAACTGTTAGGCGATAAAAGCTATGAGCCGAAAAAAGCGGCAGTAGTCAATGTAATTTATCATATCTATGCAAATAAATGTAATGTGTAATGTTACCCATATACAATGTTCTTATATCATATGTATGCAATTTGAATCTAATTTGTTTATACTCACGCGCCAAGTCGCGGCCATGAAAAGGCGTCGGCCACAGGTGCCGGTTTGCAGGAGAACGCCGCGGTACGCAATGAGTTGAGGATACGCGAGATAGAAGACGTTTTCCATACGGGCAGAAGTCG